GAAGAATACCACAGTCAAACACCTGGCAAATACTTGACAAATTAAATAAAAATAAGTTCAAGTACAAATTCAGAATTTTTCTGCGGTTCTTTCAGATTGGAGTGTACAATCCATATGCAGGAATGGACTTGCTGTCCTTTCGATTGGAAAATGTTGATATCTGATAGAAGAGGCTCTGAATGACAAGCTGAACACATCCCAGTGTGTCTGGGCTACATTCCAATTTTTGACAATATAAGTACTTTTCACTTAATCTAGCAACACCTCCACAAAATGTGTAGCTGGACCATTTTAAAAACATCCTTTATGTGGTTCTGACACATATTCCTACCTCTTGAATCCATTGCCATTACTTTCTTAATACTCTGATTCAATTGCTTTTTTTTATTCTTATACTTGTGATTATAAAGCAGTGACAGGCATATCTCCAAATACTCAGGGGTCAGCCTCAGTTCAAATAAGCATCCAAAAGGGTAGATATTAATCTGAAGGAACTACATACACTTTTAAGATAGTCTCTGAAACCCATTCTCCTTACTGGTATCAGGTTTTTGATAGTAGAAATAAATTTCAGGACTTAAAACTGAGTTGAAGAGGTTTAGTTTATTTTAGGACATATCGGTAAAAAGAAACTAAAAATCCAGGTCACCTTGCATAGAAAATGTGCTGAGATTTTTTTTCCTATCTTCCTTTCTTCAACTAGTTCGTGGACTGAACTATTCTGAGATATCTGTTTAAGTCTTCCTACTGCTGTGAAAATAAAGGAGCAAAGCTAAATAAATTGTTTTATTAATGTAAGGCAAAAGACAAATTAAATAGTATAGATGAAAAGATATCTATGTCTTGAAAACTAATTATGACTATTTAAAATTGCCTGAAATGCTAAGTCTCCTCTAGAACAACACAGAAAATGTTTTAGAATTTTTTTTGTCATAAATGACAAGAAAAAAAAAAATTCTTCAACAGAAAAATCTTCCAGCAGACTTATTTACACCAAAAAAAATTTTAAAAAAATTGTTACATAGGAAGTTGACTTGTAAATCAACAGATAACTTTAAAGATGTTTTTTCTACAGTATTTATTTTGATATGTGTTTGGTAGAGACTGCTGCTAGCATAAATGTATAAAGTGCAGTTTTCATTTTTGTTTCCTCTGAAATTAATTCTTAAATATTTGTTAAGGCCATATATATTGCACTAAGCTGTCTTTAGTATGTAAAAATTTCTAAATTCCTTTTAGAAAAGTTATTAGGGCCAGATCTTATACACAGCACATATGGACAATGTACTGTAAGTCAGGGTATAATTGGAAAAGATTTTTAAATGGCCTTTTTTCACTGCCTTGTTGCTAATAATGATCAGAGTGTAACCATATCATTTAGAGAAGCAGTCTACCCTAAGGGTTCTGCCTGTACTGTTCTCTAACAGTGACCTTAAGCAGAAAGTTCACCACAGATTGGTGTGGCAAAGCAAAGGGGGATCAGTTTTCAGCCCCTCTTGTACTTATATTAGTTCAGGAACTGTAAGCAGTTCCAAGAACATCAGCTCTTGCCACATCAGTGTTCTTGTCTAACTCAGTTTAAAAGGATATAGAACGAGATGGCAGAGGCAGCATTGTGCAGGTGCAAAATTCACCGCATCTGTTACTTAGGTGCCTCTACCTTTCTTCATCACTGCTTTTGCTTGAAGTCACAGGCTCTTCTCCCATATGGAAACTCTTTTTTTTCCCCTGCTTTATATTGCTTTATATTGCTTCCCTATGCCTTCCTTAACACACCTCAAACACTCTTGTTTTCTTCCCGTCAGGTGCCAAACTCTATATATAAGGCAATGTTCTTGGTGATTCAGGCTTAAAGATACAGTCAGGTTGTATTAACTTAACAAACTGTTATCAGCTGAACTGTGCTTCTCTATCCATGTCTGCTGTAAGGTAATGCAGTGTATCACACACTTGAACACAAGGGGATGTCTTGCATGACCTCACACTGACGGTGACAGTCACTCAGCTGATGTGCCCTATGCTGTTTTATTGCTGCAAGCCAGGGGTAGGGCCCTCTATTAGTGAAACAGAGAAGGCTTGAAGGGAAGAATTTTAGCACACCCCCACAGGGAGTGTCTTAAAAATTAGTACCAGGAACAAAAGCTAACACCAGCCATAGCCCTGCATCCCCACACCACACACACACACACACACACACACACACACTCTCATCTAAGCTCTTCAAGAGTAAGAGAGGGCAGGGGTATAGGCTAGTCAGTTGGTGTCCTTTCAATGAGAATAGTTTTGCTGGGGTCACATGAATGAAAATTGTGATGTGCAGAGCAATTTACATGAAATTATATATACAGTTTGTCTTCCCTAAGTTCCAGCTCTGGATAAGGATTCAGGAGCTGATATCTTTATTTGATCCAGTTTATGGGATGCTTTGAAGGGGTTGGGCGAGAGCAGAAAAAAAAATAAATTTCAGCAGACAAAAATTAAACCAAATAATTAAATCCCAGTCTTTGTTAACAAGGTCTTTTTTTGAAGCTACCTAATGAAACTGCACTACATTCTTCTCCTTTACGTGGTTGTTAATGCTGCTTTCAGATAAGAGAGGGAAGGAGGTAGTATAATGTAAGATTTAATTTTGAACTGTATCGTAAACCAGCTTTCATAAAGCCCAACGACAGTGAAGTGGTTCATTACATTTTAGAGTGTCTGATGTAAATAAGGTCCCTGAGTGTGTGTGATCAGTCTTTCCAAGGGCCAAAATATTTTACTGTTCCCAAGCTTGATTTCCTTGTTCAGACTGAAAAAGCTCAGCCCACATGCATTTAGAAACTGACTTGAAATTTAATTTTATTCTAATGGCTAACTGTGTCTGCTATGGTTATCTGACTCTAATTCCCCCAAAGAAGCCACTCTGCTTTTGTAGAAACACTCTGGAAATTTTATAAGGTTATTGACCAAATCAGAAATGTGCAGTCAAGTAAGTCAGAGTTGCTATACTCAGTGTATGAGACGCAGAATTTATTCTATTACCAGTTATCCAAGGAGGAGGAAAGACACATTTACAAACTTCTGCATAAGACATTATATAAGTGGTAACTAGCCCCTTTTATTTGACCATAGTTATTTACAGCCCACATTGTTCAACTACCATTGTCACTTACTGCTTACTTCACAACTCTGTGGAGCAAGGAGGCATCTTAGTTTGTAAAGCAGAAGTTACAAGGATAGAACCATTCTGTCTTTATTTTAATATTGTAACATTTTTATGTATGAGAGGGCATTTTTCAGTGGTATTGAAAACCAAACTCCTTTTGTGATCCATTTATTTTGTCTGTGCATGTCAAACAGTTTCTCTCTCATTCTGTTTACAAACAAAAAAAAAGATACCTTAATATTAAAAAAGGGTGTATGATGACTTTTGACCAGAGCTTTCACTGACCCCAGTGTGATTTCAATGCATAAAATTCTTAATTTTTATTTCTTCTTATTTAGTTTAAAAAGAATAAAAACAAGTCAGACCACTTTCAAAATCGTAGCTGAGTTATACACATTTGCTCCTGGCATCCAAGGAAAAACGATTCCAAAGTTTGAGTGTTCAGTATGGAGTAGAAGTGACAGAACAGTTTGTCAGTGGAGAACATTGTATAGAGCTATTTAAAGGTTGTCCTCAACCTTTCCACCTCTTTTAAAGCCTCATGAGACAGATTTAAACTTCTCTTCAGCCAGTTGCCTACTGTCAGTTCCATATTTGTGTTTGTTCTCTCCATGCTATGGATGTAAAGTATCAGAGCACATTATGGGGAGATCTTCCAAATCCTCTTTTAAACTCTTGTCTGAGAAAGAGACCTCAGATTCAGCCAGGTCGACCTTGGCACTTAAAGTTCACAGAAATGCTTTTGTTTCCTTGATCTCCTCTTAAGCCAGCTTTTTACAGGTGGTGGATTGAAATCTGACCTCTATAAAGACAGTGAAAGTTTTCTTATTGGCACTGATGAGTCCAAGATTTTAAATGCTATTTACATGTGAATTTTCTTCTGAGATACATATGTGGATACATATAATATCTGTATCTATGCAAATACATGTGTTATACTGGTAAATTACATGTTATAAGGCTAAATTTTTATATTGATTGTAAGTAGATTTCTCATACTAAAAATGCTCTACCAATAGGACTTTTTTCCATTTATGAGGTGTTAAAAGAGTGCTATTTTCAACACAGCCTTAAGGGAAAAATTATTAAATACTGATAGTACTTACATGTACCAACTTCTTCAATGCTCAACCCTTTAATATATAATGCCCCAAAAGATAGCACAAATAGGTACAACCACGAAGACACTGTTAATTGCTGCAAAATCACTTATTTTATATTGAAGAATCCTACAGAATTCTTGATCTTTAGCCATAAATGTAAAATACAGAAATGGAGCAAGAAGTAAGTTACTAGAAGGAGTTGTATTCTTTGATTTATTTTCTCTTATTCTTAACTTCAGCATCCTCATTTGAATAGAACATAAAAGATTATGTCAATGTTGTGCTCATAGATAAGGAAAAGTCCACAACTGGTTCATGTAGCTTTTGGTGTTCACATCTGGCTAGTTTGAAGATGTCATCGTATGTGTTTCTGTGTCAAAATTGGTGTAATATGTGGAGCATTAGCTTTTACTTCACGTTCAAGTGAGGTGGAAACATTTAATACAAAGATGGAAAGTAAGAACACAGCTGATCTGAAGAAATTTGAAACTTCAAATTTCATCAATTCAACACAATTTCATCATCAGTGAAATAGCACCTTATTATTGCAAAATCTACCTTCACTATATGCTACTATAACCATTGTTCTCTTGTAGTCTAAACACAGTAAATACAGTGATTGCTGGAAATAGTTTTAGATAATTGTTAATGTATTTATGGTAACTGTACCTATCTCTCAACTATATCACCTCTAGCAATGCAAAGTGCTAACTGAAAAAAACTTTTTTTCTTTATTCCTTCCTCTGAAGACAAAGACAGGGGTTTGTTTGCTGCAGGATGGTAACCAGGAGCCTTTCAAAGTGCGACTGCACTTAGCCAAAGATATTTTGATGATCCAGGAGCAGGATGTGATCTGTGTGTCTGGTGAGCCTTTCTATTCTGGTGTAAGTAGTTTTTATTTCTTCTTTAAGATGTTCTTTACAAAACAAAAAAATAGTGTGTGTACATGTGTGCAAGTGCATATACACATATGTATGCGTTTACTCCCATGGTTTGCTATTTCATTTTATACTGTTAACACTAAGTGTGTTTTAATATATCATCTTTTGCAAGTAAATATTAGCAGTACTTGTCTAAAGCAGCAATAAAATGATAAATTATATGTGTGAGTACGGTATTGTTTCTCTTAACTCATCCTTAGGTACTGGAGCAATTGAATGCAGGAGAAATGACATGAGCAGTGGTTTTTGCAGGGAGTACAGATACCTCCATGTACTTAGATATCTGAGTATTGCCTGTGGAGTTGATAAGATAGTTGTGGCAGGGCTTTGCTGGTAGAGGAATTATCTTCTATCCTCTGTTGTTTTGATTGCTTCCTATGGTAGCACAGCACTAGATTTCATGCATGCTGTGAGGGTCACTGGTTTTACCAGCACATCATGGATGGAACCGTAATAGTGTGTTTTATGTATTACTGTTTTTACATGATGTGTCAGATTTCTGATTTAAGCACCATATTGAATCTTGTGCATAAGAAGCTGAGCTTTGTAGACAATTATTTGGAAGACGTGTAAATTTTTATATAATTTTTATATATTGTAGGTTTTAGTACTATTGTAATGGTAAGTTTTAATTTAATATTAGGAGATAGCTACAAAAATAATAGAAACCATTTAGCATTCATTTCTGTAGACTTTTATAGATACTGTAATTATGTTTTGTAGAGATGTTTTTAAGATTTATGGGAAACTATCATAAACATTCTGCTATTCCTTTGAGCTAAATAAGATTATCATCGGATTTTATGTTAAGTCTTGTGAGGCGTAGTAGTGTAATATCTGTGTATGCAAATGTTATGTGAATGCTATTATGTCTGTCTGTTTTATTATTTAATTGCTGCTGTTATCACATACCTATATCTCTAAATACAAGTAAAATAAAAAGATACAAAGCAGAAATAAGAAATAAATTGGTAGAATGTTAGCAGTTCTAACAGTGTGGAAGGATAATGGAAAATATATCAAATAATCTATCTCAGGATTATGAATATCTCAAGGTGAAAGTTTCAGAGCTTTTGTCTGAAACAAGAGGAAGACACTGCCTACACTGTCTCCATACAATCTGGGTTTATTTGCATGACAAATCTGACATTAGCTTTTGACCATTTCACGCTGTACAAATACTGTTTAGTAACACAGGTCTGTGTCCTTTATGTGGAGTATATACGCTTCTTTTACCAATCAGAATGTGCTGTTCCTAAATAGAGGGGACATCTAACAGCCAGTATAGAAAGAAGATATGAGTTGAAGCTCAAGCTGTAGTAGTTCAATTAGCAACATACACTGCGGCACCATTATTCCACCAACACCATTCTGGCATTATTTTATAAAAGATTTTATCACTCAGAAATACAACTTTCATTATTCTGCTGTAATATCTGTTACTCTGCTGAACTTGTTATTTAGATGTCTTCATGAAATGCATATTAATTTTTTTCCTTTTCACAGTAAGGCTTTCTCTTACAGTTTTACCCTCTTTAACTTTGCAAAGGCTCTGTGGAAAAGAGTGGATTATTTGCTTCACCAATTAAATTCCCTCATATTATTTTCATATTGAATTCATAACTCATAATCTGATTGATATTACTGTGATGATGAGAAGTTTCTTTTTCCTGGAAGTGTCACTGTTAGACTACTAACTTTTCAGTCCTTCACCCTGATTTCCTCTGGGATTAAGACTAGGTTTTGTAGCAGTAAATCCATTCCAACTAAGGATGACTGGCATTTCACGAACAGTTAGCCCTCCTTTTGTCACAGATAATTTAAATAATCTGGTATCATGTGCTTTGATTGTATGCTATAATCAAACAAGCCCCACAGGCTTCTTTTTTTTTTTTTTTTTTTTGCTGATTTTCCTCATTTTTATTCCTGATTTATTAGGTTTATTTGTTTTTCTTATATTTTACTTTATTTGGTTAATTTTGTTTTATTCTTTCTGTCATTCTAGATAAGTGACCACATTTATTTTTTTACCTGAATTCTACAAAGCAAGTATTTTCATTAGCAACTGGCACTGAATGCCTCAGAGAATAAACTCTAAAACATAAAAAAAATAGTAACTGAGAAATGATAGTATTGTTAAGTTTTACAGACAAGTAGCTACAATAAGAGTTCTTTTAAATCTGTTTTAATAAATAATCTTCAAATAATTTGATTATAAGGTTTTCTTTATCACTTCTGCACTGGTATGGAAGGAAAGGCTGTTACTGTGTTTCTAGTTCAGAACAGTATCTCTTCTGTTGGTTGAGTCTGAATCAATTTGCATGCTTCTCTGTGTAGGACAGACTTTAAACAGGCACTTAGCGTTCCAGCAGCATCCTGATTTGTATCCTGTGGAATAATCTAAATGAAGTCAATGGCTCCTTAGGAATGAAGTGCTGTTTAATGTGAGTGCATGGGATAAGGACCTAGTTCTTAATTTAGAACGCTTCCCTTTTGATGGAAGACAGTTCTAGTTTCCAAAACCTTGTTTATTCTTTCATTGTGTGGAGTTTGGAGTAAGAAAATAAAATGCATAAAAGATTATAAGCAACAGTGTTAAACACTAAAAAACAAAGCATCTCTTTCTTTAGTAGGCTGAATGAAATTATGGTGTTAGTGAGGGTCCTGCAGCAATTGTACCTATAACAATTCTGTAAAGCAACAACAGTAATTCAAACGATCATGAATTAGATCAAAATTTGGGCATCAGTTGCATCAATAAGCGTTAAATAGATTTCTTTATGTATGCAACAAGAAAGACTTGCTTTCCAAGAGAAAGAAGCATAGTGAGGTCAGCATTATGCTATTAGTGGACATCTGATGTAGTTTTAAACTCCAGTGCAAACAACCAGAAGTGAGATGAGAACATTTAGTGAAACTCAAAGCCTAGAAAGCAGTGTCATTACAAAACCATATTAAATCCTTGCCTGTAGAAAGGCTTTATAGTACGGGAAATGTATGCCTGAATTGGAGTAGCTTGTGTTCTGAAGATATCCATGAGTCTGCCTGTGGAAAAAATGGAAGATAAGACTAGTGTCTGTCAAGTCTGGTATACCTTTTTCTCCCCTAAAAAACTGGACACATATTTAAATTTTTGAGACTTCTTGAGAGTTAATATTTTTTATCTGTTACATTGGATCATTATCTTTTGAGAATTATAAATTTTATTTTTATATGTTTTTTGTTGGTAAAACAAGTTCAATTAACATTAGCAATTTTAATGAATAGAAATAGAAGAAAAAAGTGAGAAGCTTAAAATAATAAATAATGGATTTGATTTATTTACTGTATTGTCTTTATTTACAGTTTTGATTCTGATGTGTGGTTGAATATTATAAACGATGTCAAAACGAAACTCCCTGTCTTGGAGAGAATTGCAAATATGTGGACAGATAGGTCACCTTTCAAGCACTTTCCATTCTTGTTACCCTCACAAAGCTAGCAGTAAGAATCTTTGGGTTTTTTTTTATCATGTTGGTATCTGTCAGCTATTCAGTGGAGTGAATCCATTTTTTCACAAAAGTCGTCAAACATCTATCAGATGGGGGTAACTTTTTTTTTTCCTGCCAGTCTGGGCAGCTTTAAAGTGACAACCTGACAGATGTAAATATGATTATTTAGGGAAAGCCTAAGGTGGCTTATTTTTCTGCAGCTATTTAAAAGTAAAAAGCATAGCAATCAACTGAGGTTCAAATTGCATTTTATAATGCCAAATTTGAAAGAGAATAATAACTTTTCCTAGTGTGAGTTCAGATCCATACTGACTTCGGGTTTATAGTTTGTGTTTTGTTGGTTATTTTTTTCTCTTTTATTTCTATCTTGAGAAATGCAGCACTTCTGAAATAAATCAGTCCTAGGACTAGAAATTTTATAGTAAATATTTAGGAGAATGTTTCAGTTTTTAAGCATATGCTGCAGGAATGGGAATATTTTGAAGTGAGAACAAGCAAAAGGATGAGTACTTTTGGTTATTCCAGCCAGTACACCGCTGTGTTTACCATCCTCAGTCTTCAGCACAGCTGCAGAGGAAGGGGGACTTCCAGTTGACCAGTCATTCTGTTGTCATCCCTTACTACCAACCTTCTCCAGTTGCATGAGGAACTGAAATAATGAGACAAGCTTCAAATGTCACATGATGGAAGTTAGCAGATGAGCAAGTCGGCTGGCAAACCTTGTTAACACTTCAACTTGGAAATGTGACTGACCTGTCCTCTGTCCTTTACAATCAGAATGAGTATAAAGTTTGACTGCTCATGTAAATTAATCCAAAGAAATGTCAGTAAGAAAGAGCAAAGCATTACCAAAAAGAGGATATAAGATCTTGAAAATGTATGCAATAATTAAATGAAAGGAAAAAATTCTAATGATGTTTTCTTTTTTCAAAATGTAGTGGGATTACTACTACTATATAAGAGCATGACCTTAAAGATATTATGGCATCAAATGTTAACAGGTTGATCTATGAAGATGCTGTCAATGTGTTAATTTTATCTTTATAATACTGTATTTTAAAATTTATGTTCTAACATTTTCTTCCTTTTTTTTCCCTACATTTTTCTGTGTCACTCTGCTATTGTAGATTCCTCTCCTGTTACTTTTTTCTCACCTACTATTTTGTGCACACATTCAGCTTTTTATCAGTTTTTTTCCATACAAGTAATACCTTGGTGTCTGTTCTATCCACAGTGAAAAGAGAGGTCTTGTTTTCTGTCTGGACCTAGACAAATTTATTCTTCAAACCTTTGCTCTTATAAGAACAATACCAGACATACCAGATGAATAACCACACACTGGGAAACCAGTGTCCCTAACTGAAAATATAAAATTTATATTCTAGGAAAAAAGTTGAGTAATGGCGTATTTAAGTTTCACATGCATTTAGTTCAGTTTTATGAAGACTTTTAAAGTTTCTTCATCCTTTTCAACGTTTCCTTGACTTTTTTCATAAGGACACTATTAGATTATTATATCACATTAGATGACTGCTTTATATGACAATAATTTGAAAGGATTACTTACTAATCATTATTTCTAAGAATCAGTTAAGCAATTAGAAACTTTCTTTTACATCACATACCACTCAGTATCAAATATTTGAATCTTTACTGTACTCTAAGATTTAATTCTTAAAAATAACATTAACTCTTGATTAATGCAAATAGTTAATGATTACATAGGATTCTATGCTTTCCTTTCCTCATTATTCACAGTTTCTCATGTGAACTGTGTGTTCACATGGTCATTCTTCACTTCTGATCTCTCTTAAGATGATGTTTGTGTTCTCAAAAAGACCATATGGATTTTAAGGAGAAATTTTAATAACTCTTTAATGAAAATCTAAAAGATATGGGTTTTATTTCACTGCATAGCTCAGAGGAAGATTTTTATTTTCTTGTCAAAACTCTTAGCTGTCCTTTCCAGTCAATGAACATATGTGTGGATGAGGAATTTTCTGAGTTAAAGGCATGGAAAATGTTGACAGGATGGCAGCAGCTTTGTATTTTTCAATAAAATGATAACTAATTTTGTTCTGTTCCAGGGAACAGCTAAAACACTGCTCTGAATCTTACTTTTAAGGATCCTAGGAGCTCTAGCTTTCCCTCTGTTTGCTCTAATGTAGATAAAAAAATGTCATAATAGAATTACAAGGTCACAGAACATTTTGTGTAGTCTTGATAGTAAACTAAGTAGGTTTTCATCTGACTGAACTTCTATTTTGTAAACTTGGACATGAAGCTGCTTTTTGAATTTGCAAAACCACTGAAAATTCAATCATAGAAGTCCATGCTATGCAAAAAGAGGGGAAAGAGAAACTAAGTGAAATACTAATAGAGAAATCTATAGCTGACAGGGATTTTTAGTAAGACTTTTTTATAAGCAGATAATTCTAACCAATGGAACATTGGTTAGGATTAGTATCTTTAACATGAAACAACATAAATGGTCAATCAGGATACTTAGAGTACTTCTTTACTGGTACAAAATATGTTGCCTTCCAGAGCTGTTGCCACATTTTATTAATGAATAATTGTAAATCATTTTAAGAATTTAAAGCTATTGGACTAGAGAAAAGCATTTTATTATTGTTATTGCTAATTTGAAATGCTAATTAGAGGCATCAGAACAAAATAATTTGATTCACTTTGCTGGTCAAACCTCTTTATTGCATTAATCATTATAATAAAAATATTATTTTATGTTACAATATAGTACTTTGCAGACAAGGTTTATTCAGTTCACCTGGGTTGAAAATGGCACTGAAAATTAAGCTTGGTTTGGGGTTTTTAAGAGTCACATAAAAAAAGTCATATGCAAATTACAAAGTAAAACTTACTTGGATAAAGGAGTTTTCTGGCAAAATATTTCAAATTTCAATGGCGATAGAAAAGAAACTAGAAAAAATACTAGACCAAACCCTCTGATAAATTATGTTATGTGGGGAAATTACAGTTTCTTGAAATTTTTCTGTTTTCTTTTCTTGCTTCTCCACAGTATTGCCTATTTAGTAATCAGCTATGGTAGCAAAGTATTTCTGAAGCATGTTTCTTTCACTTAAAAAAAGTAATGCAGCTCTTGGATGAAACTAGATTGGAAAATGCACTAAAGGAGTGCAGTGCATGTAATTCAGCATGTAGTGTTCAATCTTCATTTGGGACCAATTTAGTTCTCATCAAGGTGAAGACCTCTGAAATCCATATATTATGCCCTAACTGTCAAACTCCACAGTTCTGTTCTTAATGCATTGCAATACTTGCTAGTATGGTGTGGATTGAAACAAGGATTTTTTGTTTGAGACAGGACCTCTGCTTTTCTTCCAGATTTTGTCTTTTTCCTCTGCAGCATAGGTTTCATGGGATTTCCACATTTAGAAATTCAGAAATTTATTAAAGCAAGAAAAGTCAATGTCTGATGGAAGCACAGAAACAGATTATTGATTTGTGAATATAGTTGTTCTGGCAGAAAATATTTAATCTAACAAAACTTGCTTTTTTTTTTCCTCAGGAAAGAACAGTAACGATCAGAAGACAAACTGTAGGAGGATTTGGATTAAGTATAAAGGTAGGATGATTTTTTTGGTCTGTTATTCCATGTTACGCATAAGTTGTCTTCATATAGTCAAGTTGTCTTCATATAGTCAAGTTATCTTCATAAACCAAACGTATTCTAGTATGTTATGTACTGCCACAGTAGGCAACCAGCAACTACGCTGCCCTATGTAATGGAAGACAATGGAAAGTTCATTCCCTTAAGATTCAAGCAGACCAACTCTGTAATAAGATTTGGTATAAGAGTTGAGAGGTGTTTTCAACTGCACAGACTGTACTTTTTTCAGCAGCACTCTAATTTGAATGCTTATTAATGAATGCTTAATTACAGCAACAGGCACATGGAACAGCCAATAAGTTCTTCATCAATTCTCCTACAAAGAATATCACGTTAATTCACTGCAATTCATTAGTAGGACAGAAAGTGTTATTGCTTGCTCATATGGTTTATTTTGCTGCAGATCAAGCAAAGATGGCAATTTATCATATTACCATGTTTTTTGCTTTCTTCAGTAAGAATCAAGAATGTATATAAGCATAGGTAACCCTTTTTTGAGATAGGGAGCGATGAGAGGGAGAAAAGGTTAATAATTTTTGTCGTAATAATCTATGATTTTGAAAACCATACCTTACCTTTTAATCTGAATGTAGACAACACAAGATTAATTTTATCTTCTAAGCACAGCAGTCCTCAGTCTCAAGATAGCAATGGAAAAAATGAAATGTACTTCACATGAATGCAGAGGCTTAAATTATGCATATAAAGGGAAAGTATAGATTTTCTTCTGAACATCTGCTAGTACTTGCCTTATAAGGGACTCATAAGAAGGATTAATGTGCATTTGTGTTGTCATTGATAAGAATATTGCTGAATAGAAATACTAATTTTTAAATGTGTCTTGGTATGCTTGCTATTAGTTTGTTGACCCACGAAGACCTCTATTCAAGGAAACCGTCTTGCTATTTTTTCACCAAAGTTTCTCATCGGTTTGGTCAACAGCACCTCTGTTATCATTATAGGTTATAGTTCACTGAATAATGATGAAGTAATGCCTGTCAGTGTAAAATCAAGTGCATGGGTAAATGAGGTTTTACTTAGCTGGTATTAAATAAAAATGGGTTACATTAAGAAGTTTTTATGTTTGGAGGGCAAATCTCCAGAGTCACTAAACCTGATTTTTGTACCGTGGTATTACTCTGCTCTCCATTGCTGGCAAAATGCTGGCAAGAATACTCTTGAACAGACTAATACCTGCTATAGCAGAAGGAATTCTACCTGAAAGCCAATGTGGTTTCAGAACCAACAGGAGTACCACAGACATGGTATTTATCCTCAGACAACTGCAAGAGAAGTGCAGGGAACAGAACAAAGATCTCTATGTAACCTTTGCTGACCTCACCAAGGCTTTCGATACTGTGAGCAGAAAAGGTCTGTGGCAGATTTTGGAACGATTAGGTTGTCCCCCCAAGTTCCTTAAAATGATCATCTCACTTCATGAGGATCAGCGTGGCCAAGTCAGATATGGCAACACACTTTCTGAGCCCTTTCTAATAAAGAGTGCTGTGAAACAAGGCTGCGTTCTTGCTCCAACCCTTTTCACAGTCTTCTTTAGCATGGTGCTCCAAAGGGCCACAGCAGACCTCGATGATCAGGACGATATCTACATTCGATACCGTACTGATGGAAGCCTATTCAACCTAAGGCGACTGAAGGCCCACACCAAGACCTTAAACCATCTTGTCCGGGAGCTGCTCTATGCTGATGACACCGCCCTTGTTGCCCACACAGAAGCAGCTCTGCAGCGTTCAACATCCTGCTTTGCAGACACTGCTGAGCTTTTTGGACTGGAAGTCAGCTTAAAGAAGACAGAAGTCCTCCATCAACCTGCACCTCAGGAAGTCTTCCATCATCCCCATATCACCATTGGCCAGTCAGAGCTTAAATCAGTCCAGTAGTTTAATTACCTAGGTAGCCTCATCTCCTCAGATGGTAAGATCGACGGAGAGATAGACAACAGGTTAGCAAAGGCATATAGTGCTTTCAGAAAACTCCATAAAAGAGTTTGGCATAATAAACACTTGAAGAAAAGTACCAAGATCAGTGTTTACAGAGCCATAGTGCTGTCTACTCTCTTATATGGATCTGAATCATGGGTCATCTACCACCACCACCTGCGTCTCCTAGAATGCTTCCATCAAAGCTGCCTCCGAACAATCCTAAAGATCCACTGGTCAGATTATGTGACCAATACATCTGTTCTAGAACAAGCAGCAGTCACAAGTATTGAGGCCATGTTGCTGAGAACACAGCTGCGCTGGGCAGGGCACGTCTCCAGGATGAAGGACCACCGCCTCCCTAAGATCTTGCTTTATGGTGAACTTGACACCGGCTGCCGCAATGGTGAACTTGACACCGGCTGCCGCAAGAGAGGAGCCCCGAAGAGAAGATACAAGGACTCCCTGAAACAACATCTCAGCCTCGACCACATTGATCATCATAACTGGTCTACTCTGGCCTCAAATCAGGAGGCCAGGAGACACACCATCTATAACACTGCCGTTTCCTTATAGAACACACGCAGGATCACTCTCAAGGAGAAAAGACAACGCAGAAAGAATCGTGTCTTGCAGAATATACCACCTAAGGAGTCTTTCTGCTGTGCCTTTTGCAATCGGACATGTCTATCTCGTATTGGCCTCATAAGCCACCAGCGTGCTTGTAACAAAGGTGGATAGAGCCTTCCCAAATCTTTGTTCATGAAGCCTAACCATGATGATAACAATTTAGAACTAAAATTGCTACAATTTAGAACTGAATTGTTACCATTTAGAACTAAAATTGCTGACAATTTCAAGATCACATTTTTAAGTGTTATGTACATTGTATGAAATAAAATATAATTGAGAAATATAAATTAAATAGTGAATGTGCAATGGTCTTTTTTTAATTAGTGGAGCAAGATACTCTTAAATTTTTAGCGCAAGATATCAATTTTCTAGGATTCATAGATATTTTGATCAAAATTAATCTAAGTAGTAGAAAGGTGAAGATATGTAAATTCAGGCGCAAGTAGACAATTTTTAATTTTTTGAATAATTAACAATCAAGTGATGAATCCCTTCAAAAATGTCATTAAACAGAAAAGAGATGTCTTTTTAACAAAGGAAACTCAAACTTACTTGGATGGCATAGATTAGATAATGAAAATGGTGAGTTGAATTCTGTGGTCCAGGATGTTCTGTCAATGTGTGTTAGTCAGTATGATTATTACGTTAAATTATTTTTTTAAAATCAGTTAATGTGGGACCTTCTTTGCCAGATCCCTTTATTAGTAATTCTACATTCTCACAAAGAAAGATTAACAAAAAATTGGAAGCCAACACAATCAATTAATATAATCTGTAATAACAGATTATATTAATATACATATTATATATATATAATAATAATAATAATATGATGGTGATGATATTTATATATAATTTTAAGTTAGCTGTAAGAAATAACTTAGAACTGGAACTTAAAGTAATTTTTTTTAGTTTAGTAGGCAAACTTTATGAAGGCTCACTGAAGTGGGCTTTTTAGGTATGTCAGTGTCAGTTCTAAATACTCTGAAAAATGCTAGTTTTCTGTGTAAAATGTGTCATTCAAAACTGGTATGCTTCCTAATGAATATGAATAAAAGTTAGCTACTTTGTTTTGTTTTGTTTTGGAAGATTACTGAACTTCAATGAAGAACTCGTATTTGTTATTAGTTTTAAATAGAAATGTTATTATTTTGAAATAGGGCCTGAAAGTAGAGGTCTACAAGTCATCTTGTAGGAGTGAGAGGGATTGAGGCCTCTCCTCCTTGTGTCAGTAATTCCCACAGCCTCATGAACTACACTAGTTTCTGTCTTACTACCCTCAGGCTATTTAAAGATGGGGGTTATCTGAGGACTTAATTTCTGGCTGTGGTGTATATCAGAGGATGCAGTTTATCTGAGGTGTTAATTACAGCAGTATCATGATTAATGACCCTCACTTTAGAATACTTGCTTGTTTGTTACGATTTTGTCTATATTTGGCATTCAGTTCTAGGGCACTATGATGTTTTCTTTCTGCTAACTTAAACACCCATTTGCTGTCAGATATCTCACATGATGAAGACACCTTTTAACTTTTTTCTTGTGTAAGTTTTGGAAGTGTCTTATTCCACCTTAAGTATTTTGGAGCCTTGGAATTTTATATTTTTTTTCTGAAGAGCAGAAGGACAAATTTTTAATAATTCCAAGATGAAACTATCTAATTTTTTTTTTTTTTGCTTGTCTATGAGAGAAACTGTCTTCTCTTACAACTGGGCATTCCAACTATATTTATAAAAATCACAGATTCAGCTAACTGCTTAAAAAAACCTGCTTGTGAGCTTGACTTTTGCACAAGATGGAAACTTCAGTCCTTTAAAAATTACTTCTAATCCAATCTTTTAAGGTATGTTTTGCTCTACTTCCTTCTACTGAAGTGAATGGTAAAACTGTGCTTGTATTTGAAGCAGAACAGATCTGTTTTATACTCTTTTGAAGGAACAATTTTCTTATTTCTGAAGCCTCTTGATAAACATTTGTATGTGAAAGAATAGCCGTGGAGATAGATGTAGAATTTGGTAAGCATAGCGTGGTATTTCAGTAATTTATCTCATCTCTGACTAGTTTGAGATGCAAAGCTTTGACAAAAGATGCTGCTAAGTGTATGACTTTTGAAAGAAAACCGTGTTTTCCAATAACTGGAGTATAGTGTTCTTGCAGAAATAGGCAAAAAAATTGATAGTTCATTAAAAAAATGAAGGTTTGTTGTTACAGTGTGGCTACCAGGACTCAGTACAATGCAATTTTCCTGCCTCTGTTTTGATCATTCTCTTTAAATGATGAACAGAATCACAGATCTGCTGAGATTTAGTTTGACTTTTCAATATGACTTGATCAAAAAAATCTAGTGGCCATGGACCTTAAAGCTACTTTTGTTAGTGGAAATACTACCTTTTAGTATCAAACATCCCCTACATTGTTTAACTCTAGTGATAATAAAGTCCAACAACTGGTCTAATTTTTTTTAGGCTCTGCTTAGACTCTGATTTTCTGTCTCTGCTTAGGGAAAAAAAAAAGATTATTTTCTTTTTATACTTAGAGCCAGAAAAAAACCAGCCTTTGTCAATAAAAGTTACTAGTTTCAGTTGTTCTATTTTTAATATGATAAAAACTTCTGAAAAATAACTCTCACACATAAAAACTGGGATAAGAAAAAATCTTTAGGAGTATATTATATGACACTTTGAAGAGAGGTGTGGGTGACCTCTTAGCAGTAGTGGCCAACATCCAGAGCAGTAAGCTTCAAACAGCTGCCAGTGATTAGAGCTTCTTCTTCCTCTTCTAGTAGGACCACCTCCACAGGTGGGCAGTTAGCATTATTCCAGGTGTATCTTTTCCTGCTTAAAGAAAAATGACCAAGAAAATCTGTGTGAGAAAGACTGATGTTAGATTCTCACAGAAGTCTGAGCCATTAAGTCTTCAACACCATTACTTGATGTATTTTTGTCCCTCCTCTGGTCTGAGGTTAAAACTACGTGTCCACACTAGAGGGAGGGAAAATTTAAAGCAATGGAGAAGTCTCTTCTGTTCCCAGAGGTTTCTTCAGAGGAGTATCTCCTGAGTCTATAAAACCAGAATTTAGACACGCGTACACTTTTTCCTCCTCAGGACAGAGAAGAATGGAGAATGCAGGATGCAAGACTGCAGTGTCAATCTGAAGTAGTATTCAACAAGATGGCAAAACATGCTTGAACTCTTGCTATGAACTGCTGACAGTGACTGGGTGTAGATAGGTGGTTAGCTATTTTCTATTTTCCATTCTGATTTTTTATTTCTTAGAATAGTGGGCAATACCTCCTATGGCTAATTTAAAAACACGCCTTCATACTGATCAGACTGGGATGCAGTGAGAAGAGACAATTTTCTTCAGTTAGGATACTGGTGAAAGCTTCTTCAAATCTGCAATGTAAACAAATTTAGGTAGATATAATAAAATGAGACAGGAGTAATCATGTTGTGTGCATTGCAGGCTGGCTTAGTAATAACAGTAATTTCCCTCTTTACTGGAGAGCTGAATCTAAGGAGGGAGGCCATTTTACTGAGAAAAAAAAGACCTGTGTTAGCTATGCAGAGCTTTAAACTCTACACTTCTTTACTGGGCTTTAAATATCCTGGATAGTGCAACATCTGTGTAACAATGAAAGCTTAGGAATGAAATGACACAATTATTTCTCTGTTTGTTTGAAAACTTTGGAAGAAATTAATTGTGCATGTGACTGAAAAATCTGGAGTGTATAGGTTAAAGTCTTATAAATTTGATGAGCTTGAACTGATTATCTTCAGCAAAGCAAACTTTCAGTGTTGCTGAAAGTTGGTGAAAACTACTGAATGATATTCAACAAGCCATAATGCTACAATCTAATCAATCTGAATACATCTCTCAGCCTGACTGAAAAGAAGGTAGCCTCTGGTCTTTGTGAATACTCAGTCTGTGCTACAAATATGGATATGTTCTGTGCTTGTCAACACTCATCCCAAGCAATGCCAGTAGAACTTTTCCTGTAGACGTATAATTATTGTAATATTACTGAGATCCCTCTTGACTCAATGTTTTTAGGACTATTTGCATTGATAGCCACTAGCAGACAGAGCATTAATCCTATTTAAGATTCTATAGTTTCACAGGAAATTAATCTTTATTCCATGACAGAAATAGGTATTGAGTACAAGACTGTTCACTTTCAAACAATTGGCTATTGTACAAAGAAGAGATGTGTACTATTCGTTAGACCATCAAAACACCCATGTCAGTCCTTTCTACATCTCGACCTGGACCTGAAAAAGCTGTTATTTCCAAAGTAAAATCTGGCTGCTGAAGAGAAGAGTAAGCAAACCCTTAACCAGGATTCCTAAACAAATTAACACTGTGGCAGAGTGTAGCTTCTGATGATCAGAATTTGTAGAAATTGCATTCAAGCTCACACTTTGATGATCTCTGCAGAGAAAAAACTATTTCTTTCTCTGTGTATATTTGCCTTTACCTTCCTTTGAATTTCCTCTTCATTTGAAATTTATTTTTATTACTTTATTCTTAAGAACCATAAATGTTTCCAGTCCCAACAGGATAAATTGAATGAAGCAACAGCATTGAATTTTTGTCAAACTGTTGAGTTATCATCCATTTTTTCTTTATTTCTCCCCATTTATTGAACACCTACTGTTCCTTCTCTTAATGTTTCTTTTTCTGTTCCTTGTTACTTATGGCACTGCTTCCTTCATTCTTTGTGCTTGTGGATAGAAATGGAAACAAATAAAGGCCGCTTTTGAGATGAAAAGTCTAAACCTTCTTTCTTGCACTTTTGTTTACCTGTTTCTTGCCAGCATGAAAACTAAGTGGTCGCAACATGGTTACCATTGTAGGGGGATGGCCATTCTGCTTTTGCAGGACACGATTTCATACACTAAGCTCTCAAGAATTCAGATAAACTGATGTCCTTTTTCTTGAAGTCTTGTAGGGTTTGAATTAATTTCCTGAGTTAATGATGGCAACCAAAAATGTCTTTATGAGAGGCAATAAGGAATTATTCACAATCAAATATTCATTTAAAAAAAAGGAAATGCAGAATCTCAATCTCTCTAAAAACGGCATTTAATGAAAGAGCAAAATATAATTTTAAGCAAAAAAATATTTTTAGTGACTGACAAGATTGTAATTTATTCTGTTTTCAGGGTGGAGCTGAACATAATATTCCAGTGGTCATTTCTAAGATTTCCAAAGAACAAAGAGGTGGGTATCAGCTTAGTACACTGTGTTTTGATGTACCTGTTAAAGCAAGGTGTATTAAGTTTTGAGATTCTTCAGTCAGTGTTAAATGTATGCTATTGTTGTACCCTTTCTCTTCCATGACTTCATCCAAGTCATTTATGAAGATGTTGAAGAGCACAAGGCCTAATATGGAGCCCTGTGGAATCCCACTAGTGACAGGTCATCAGTCTGATGTTACCCCATTCACTCTTACCCTCTGTGCCTGTCCCATGAGCCAATTCCTCACCTACTCCATGATGGGTTTATTTGGATATTTTGTGTTTAGCTGGACATTTTGTCCGGAAGGTTTCTGTGAGAGACAGTATCAAAAACTTTACTGAAATCCAAAAGTATTACATCAACTGGCTTTCCTTGATCAGCTGGGTGGGCTACCTTGTCATAAAAGGAAACCAGGTTTGATTAAGCAGGACTTCCCTCTCATGAAACTGTGCTGGCTGTGACCAATGACTGTGTCGTCTTTCAAGTGTTTTTCTACATCTCCCAGAATAATCTTCTCCATAATTTTACCAGGCACTGAAGAGAGACTGACAGGCCTATAATTTCCAGGGTCATCCTTCTTCCTCTTCTTGAAGATCAGGACAACATTCACCAACTTCCAGAATCCCAGGATTGCTCAAAAATCATTGAGAGAGGTTGTGTGATGACATCAGCAGCTCCTTGAGGATTCTTGGATGAATTCCATCAGGACCCATAGATTTGTAGGGATCCAACTGAAGCAGCGGATCCTGCACAATTTCAGGGTCGACTGGGAGTAGATCATTCTCGCAGTCATGGTCCTCCAGCTCAGGACACTGGGCTGGGACCCTCTTAGTCTGTCATCTGTCATCTGAAGACAGAGGAAAAGAAAGTGTTAAACACCTCTGCCTTGTCTCTCTCCCTGTTTGTGAGGTGACTGTTCTCATCCTGTAATGGGCCAATGATATTTCTGTCCTGCCTATTGCCATTAATATATTTGAAAAAACTTTATAGTCCCCCACATTTCTGGCAGCTTCGACTCCAGCTGAGCTTTGGCCACACGAATTTTCTCCCTATGGCAGCAAGCAGCATCCTCGAATTCTTCCCATGTCACTTGACCTTGCTTCCACTGGGCATACAACCTTCCCTTTTTGACCCTTTTCCAGGAAAAAATCCCTGTTCAGCAAAGCTGGCCTTCTGCCTTGCCTGCTTGACTTCTGACATTTCAGAGTTGCCTGTTCACCATCCTTAGGATGTGATGTTTAAAATGTGACCAGCACTGGTGGACCCCAGCAGCTGCAAAACCTTTCCTCAGGGGACCTTGCTTACTAATTCTCTGAGCAGCCAGAAGTCTGCTCTCCTCATGCCCAGAGCTGAGGTTTTGCTGGCACTTTTCCTCCTGTCACTGTGCCCAAATGGCCGCCAATCTCCACTTTGCTCATGAGATCCACTCTGATGACAACCAGCAGATCAAGGAGGGCATCTTTCCAAGTCAGCTCCTTTAGGATCTGTTCCATAAAGTTGTCATCCAGGTTTTTTAGGAATCTTCTGGCCCAGGTTGAACCAACTGTGTGATACTCCCAGTTAATTTCTAGCTAGTTGAAGTCCTCCATAAGAACAAGGGCAGTTGACTTTGGAGTGTCCCTTAGTTCCTCAAAGAACAATCATTGGTGTCATTGTCCCGGCTGGGAGGTCTATAGCAGACTCCCACAGTGACATCCTCATTATTTGTTTGCCCCTTGGTTCTTACCCAGAGGCTCTCAACTGTGCCATTGCCAACTGTGAACTCTATACATTCTAATCGTTCTATTACATACAGCACCATCCCTCCACCTCTTCTGACCTCATGGAAATAAGTAAAGTTTTTGGATCAAGCCCAATTCTAGTCTTTCCCAGACAGTATCTTCTGGAACGATATGCAATACTATAGGTAAATAATCGCATGTAATCTGTTAACATTCCTTAGTTCCCATGTTAGGGATTATTAATTTATTTATAGACACCTAAATAATCTTTGTTATACTTCTGGTATGCTTACAAAGTATAGTTGTATCAGGTAGCTCTGAAACACAACACAATATTTAAAAATTGCAACTGTAGATTTTGTAAATGTCTTTGTGACACAGTTTTGTTTTAAAAATCAAATTCAGTTTGGCTGTTGATTTTGCACAATATACTGATTTTCTAGCTCTCCAGCATATAAAATATTATTCAAAATTAATACTCCATCTTATTTATAGAGTTTATCAAAGATGCAGGATCTAAAGGATCTTTTATCTTTGCTAAAAGCCTACAATTTAAATTAGTCATTCATAGGTAGCTCTGGAGTCTCCATTTGCTTTTTTTCAGTTTGTTAGAAATTATTTCTCACAGGCAAATAAGACCTAGTCCTGTAGTAATTTTCTATTCAGAATAGTATACTATACCTCACTACAATGGCCTGAGGGTACTAGTGATTGATGGACTATGTTTCATAGTCTTGTGCTTAGGCTGGATAGTCTCTTTTATTATAATACTGAAATGCCAGTATTTTGAGTTTAAAAAAGAAAATGCAAATAATTTATTTTTTGTTTGGTTCTATTTGTTTTGTTTGGTTTTTGTTTTAACTTTTAAAAGATTATGTAAAAACATTAAATTAAATTAGAATTCATGTACACAAAATGTAGGATGTTTTGTACAAAATGAGTGAAAAATATGCTTTCTGTTTTCAGCTGAACTTTCAGGTTTACTCTTTATAGGAGATGCAATTCTACAGGTGAGTAAAATTGCAAATTATTTTGTTTGTATTTTTCTAGAAATGTGATATGAATTCTATACTTATGAAATGTAGAGTAAGTCTTCTCTTTATCTTTTTAATAACAGATTAATGGAATTAATGTGAGAAAATGCAGGCATGAAGAAGTGGTGAGCGTTTCTGTTTTTTAGTCTACTTTTTGTCATTCATAGTTACTGAGATGATAGTGTACCCTGATAGCAGTGTGGTGGTATCACTTGACTTAATGTGACTCGTAAACAAATATGACTGTACCTTCTAATATGACAAACAACAAAGTTTGTAGTGCAATCTCTTCTTCCTAATTTTGTGTACTTGCTCTTCTCAGATAGGCTTTTCTAAATTAAAGGTCATTGCTTTATTATGAAGATTTGAGTTGTATATATTCCAGCATTTCTTCTTCTGGCTTATAGCTGTTAAATTTCAGCAGTGCTACACCTTTCTGGCTGTGTGAGGTCATTTTAATTTCAAAAGCTGTAATTTGTACTGTGTTGGAGATTTGTTGTTTGGTTGGTTTTAATCCTATTTTAAAAATTAAACAAAACTATTCATCTGCCTTTAGTTCTCTGGCTTTTAGTTACGAGGGATGCTGTCCTCATTCAGTTAAGCTGTTATTAATAAGGGTTTAAAATAACAGTGTATTAAGAAGATTTCTTCTAGAGAAGCCATGTGTATTTGGGAGGTCTGTAGTAGGCTGGTTCCATTGGTATGTCACCTTTGCTAAATGTATCATGTACTTCTGTTATACTTGACTTTTTGACTCTTCTTAAGTACTTTCAGAATGAGGTAACCCTATATTTCAGAAAATAATGCCAGAAAGTAGAAGATTACCAAAGAAATTACCTTGAAATCCTGTGTAGCTCCACAGAATTTGTATCTTAATTTTTAAGATAAGGTGGTAATGTTATATTTGAAAGGTTATGTTTCTAAAGCTTACTTTTGCCAATTCAAGGACGCTCTGTGTTTCATACAGCATTCTGCTACGTGCCACTTCATTGAACAGACGTCGTTTGCATTTAGAAAGCAAGAGTTAATAAAGATGAAGTTCTCATAAACAAGTTAGTGCAGGCTGAAAGATTAGATCACTGCACTATTCTTCAGAATGCTTTTGCACACTTATTTCCTTTGGGAAATCTATACTACAAATTGTGCTTCCTTCTTCGGAGCCTTCATCACACCCCCTTCTGTATGTACTGACTAATAGTCGTATTTATATTCATATTAAGTTTTTCCTGTGCAGTAGTGATCGGATTTTAAATATTTTATAAGTTTACTGGAACTTGTTTGTTTAATATGCATTAATATGGCAAATCTCTCAATGGGATTTAAATAGGCTGTTGAAATTACAAGACATGAGAAAAAGATACTACTGGAAGTGTAGCCTTGAACACTCAAATGCATATTGAAAACTGGTAAGAACACCATGATTTTATTTTTTGTTTGCTGAGACAATCTCTTAACCATTAAAATTCTCAATGATCCTTGTGGGCCCCTTCCAACTCATCATATTCTGTGATTAGTTAATGCTTGTGGACATTCTGTTGTCTTTATTGTCTTTGATTACTTTTGATACAAATGATAGATAGACAGACTGATAGACTACTCTCATAAGACTAGATAGTTAGGTTTAGTCAGTTCTTAGTGTACTTTACTGGAAGCCTTTACACAGTTCCTTTTTGATTTATTTTTTTTTTTTTTAGCTTTAGATGGATCACTTAATCTTGAGCCTAGTTTTCTACTTGTAGAATGTGAAAATATTTTTCATACCATGAAAGCACATGATTAGTTTCTATCAAAGACTGACTGTCAGCTTGTTCTTTGTCTTGGGTTGTAAAGACTCCCATCTGAATGCAGCATCGCATTGCTTAAGTCTTAGTGCTCTCCTATGGTAAGGTAAAGACATGCTCTCTGTGGTGAAGTATCAGCATGGGAGGAGGTTGCAGGGAAAAAATAAACTTGAAATTCTCCTAAAAAATATCTCTCAGCATCACACTGGCAGTTTTAGTCCAAAAAATGCAGTATGAACTTGAATGTGGAGGTTAGGAAAGTCCATTATATCTGTTAAAATACATGACTTTGTGCTCTTTCTGCTCTGGATTTATTAATTATTCTTTTTCCAGTAAACTCTCCTTTACATTTTACAACAAGACTCTTTAAAGGCTGAAATTAGGTTTATTCAAAAACACATCTTAGAGTTTAGGCTTCTATCTAAGTAATAAGGTCCAACAATGCATAGCATGTTAATCCATACACCTAGTCTTTTAAGGGCTTATAATGGATATAATTATTCTTAAGGCTGGAAACTAATTTATTTGTAGTCTGGAAACTAATGTATCTCTAGATTTTCCCTCCATATACTGTCCAGACATAAAGATAGGTAGGCAAGCACCAACATAATGCTGTTATGTGGACATTTTTGGTCGTTCCAGATCTAGCCACTACACCACTAACAATAGACAAGACTTTGGGAAAGAAAGAGAGGCCGTGCTGTGAACTACTTCCCTTGTGCTAATACTGAGTGGTTCAGAGTAGAAGAGTATGAGTCAACTCATTTACATACTACCAAAAACCTTGTATTGGATCTACTGCTCTTACTGTTTCCAGGGTGGGGCCCCCTGGTGGTCTAGTGGTTAGGATGCGGCGCTCTCACCGCCACAGCCTCGGGTTCGATTCCCGGTCATAGAACTCCTCCGGGCAGATGGAGCTCGTCAGCCCTGTAAGGCCATCCATCCAAGAGAAGGTCACTCTAAACAAACCTACGTCCTGAGGACCTCACTGCCACTGTCTGAGCTCGCTCGGCCCCGGCAGATGAACCTCAGGATTAAAGGGTGGGCTCAGTTCAGCGCACACTGTGTCTCACCTAAAAAATCCACTGCGCAGGCTCGAAGGGTAAAGACCTTTCCCAAATCTTCATTAGCGAAGACTGGCCATGAAGTAAGGTGAATGAACTGTTTCCAGGGTTATAGTGCACCAAATCGTCTAAAGTCCATGGAGAAGGAATAATTTCAGTCAAATGAAGGCTGATATGTTTGCGATTATGTCCCTGTTCTTAATGAATCTACTACATCTCAGGTAGTACCAACATCTATCATTACATATCTCTTTCGATCTTAGCATCTGTTTTTTCCTCTTAGGAAATGAAAGGAATTAAATGGCTATGGAAATGAAGTAATTTCTTATTTCATGTATTTGGGAAAATTCAGGGATGTTTCTAATGAAAAATGATAGCCTGCATTTGTCAGTTACTGTGACAGTCAGGCATTCCTTTAATTGTAACAGGAAAAGCTCATGTAGTGGTAGGTAGGTATATTCAGGCTTTGGTGTATTTTATGTTGAGCTACCTACAATATGTAGCACCATGTTTCAATTCAGCCATTGGTTGCATTTTGAACAAGACACCTTTTTTTCCAGCAGAATGACCTTACATGAGATGTCATGTGCACTGCATTGTATCTTTTGCTTCCCCTTTTTCTCTGCATTCACAGTGGGTATATAACTGTGCTGGTCCTCCATGAGTCATATATACTATATGAATCTGACAGTATAGGGACTGTAGTTGCTTAACAGAAATTGTCTGCAACTAATGAAACTCCTACTCTGACTTTTCTGTTTTAAAACTGTAGTTTCATTCAAACCGATTTTTAAAACACATTATGAATAGTTTTGGCAATGTTTTTCTGAGTGTTTTTAAGCAGAACAAGGATATTGTATTTTTTAAGACAGGACTGGAAAACAAATGATCTGAAATCTCACTCCATATTCACATCACAGAATTGTCTTTTGGTAAATTATGTTTTTGTTATCTTTGTTTCCTTAACTGTGAAGCAGAGGCCTAGACTGTTATCAGGTTTCTGCATTAGTATTTTGCAGTTTGATGACAGTGGTAACAGCAACCTGCGAACACAGATTACCACCTTCTCATGCTGCAGAGATCCTGTACTGTATAACTCACAGCACAGCCATTTAATCCTTTCCCCTCTAGACTGAATGGCGACTTTAAATATTGAAGCTGCATAGTCGGTGCTTCTGAGAGAAGACCATAATCAATCTGAAGTTTTTAACTTCTGAATTTAAAAGTGAAATGTAATCCAATATTTTTACTCTTTCCATACAGCTGCTGTTTTCTATTTGAGACTTGAGTGATTAAAAAAAATAAATAAATTATGTCACCTTAGTGACATTACACCCTGGTGCCCTGGTGTAATTAATGAAAATATCTGTTACTGAACATCTTTACTGTTCATGAAATTTGAGTTAATAATAATCTGTTTAATATTTCAGCATCAATTTGAAATAAGTGCCAATCAAGTGGAAAAGAACCTGCAAATAGTCTACTGTTTTTTCCTGTGTAGTAGAAAATCCTTGAATTTGGATATATCCTAGAACAGTACTCTTAACGTGTATTAGGCTGCTTTTCTAATCTGGTTTTAGCTATAGTTTTTTAGTGTTTAAATAATATTTTTTTGTGCCAAACTCTGTAAAAACTTGAATTTATTCAACCACTACAATGTTAGACTTTTAAAATACATTAATGTATTGCTAGTCTTCCTAATTAATATTTTCATTCCTTTTTTCTCATGATACCTGTAGATATATTAGTCATCTTATTAAGATTTCATCTTTTAAAACTACTCATCTATACTGCTGACTTTTTATAGAAGGGAGTAGATTATGCTGTCATGACTAATACCAAGTTTACATGATTAATATTGTTACTTCCTTATTACATAGCTACAGTCCTCAAAGCAAAAATCCATTAGGGCTTAGTGGGATAGAGTGAAAGATTGAATCGCCAGTTGTGGTGCAACATCCCTCAAATAACTACCCTTGGTTCCTCCTTTGTCATGCAGCTTTATTAATGCTGGAAGCCTGAGCTGCAAAGAAAAGAAACAGTTGAGCAGTGGATTGAAAGTGTGTACTATCAGATATGCTTTGTTTGTGACCTTGTTTACATTGGTATTTTGTTGTAAAGCTTTGGATTTCTCTGCTTCCTAATGAAGTAAATAGAAATGTTTTCATGTTTATTCGTACGTGTTTGTGCTTTACGCTCCAGAAGGCTTTTTGAAATATTTCATTCTGCACAGTATCTCCCAGTTGTGGAGCTATATCTCAATTTGTCTTTGGTAAAGGG